AAGCATACATCCAGCCCTCAAAAAGAGCTGGGGATTTCTTCAGACAAGATGTGCTTGCTAAAAAATACTTTTGAAGATGAAGATCCATTTACATTTAATATTACCACATTTGTTTTTGCAGTTATGCAAATTAAGTCTTTGTCTTTCAGAGAGACTCCTCACCATACTGAACAGCTTTGCCTAAACAAGGATTTGAAGACTCTGTCTCATTACAATATTTTACAGTAAAAACATCTGAAACACTAGTAGCCATCTTCCACCTCTCCTAAAAAATGAAGAGAGAAAAGCAACACCTTAGGACACTCAGATAAAGTGAGATGAGCTAACAAAAGGCACAAGGTTCGTTCAGATCAGCAGGTTTCCACTGGATAACTGACATGCTACTTTTCAAATGTATCAGGATTCAAGTTCACTTAGGTACAGTGCAAGAAAGCTTCTGATTCCCAGTAGTAGAGATCTTCCTATATTTGTATATGAAAGCATCTGTCTTTCCAAGACTAACCCCATAGACGCCACCTGGCACCAGCAACCCAAAAGGTGTCTGTCTGCTGCTGAGGGAGGATCCTGCAACACCATTCACCAAGGAGGAAGAATTCCCATCAACATTCAGGGCTTTTGCAGTAGCGGTTTCACCTGCAACATCAGAAATGGCATTAGGAGTGTCATTTTCAGCGCACTTGGTAATGCCATCCATGCACTTATGGAAATTTTGGCTCAGCAGCAATACAATAGGGCCTCCAACACGAAGTACTCTGGCCACTGCAGGAAAAATAAAGGTTAGGTGTTCAGCTTGCCTGGCATTCATTTGTCTGTGCAGAAGTCAACACTGCTGACACTTCAGATGCCAGTGGCACTTGATAAAACACTTAAGCACATTAAGGGTCACGGCTCAACTCAGTAAGCTACGTTTCCAAATGGAATTTAAATGCCCTATCTTCCTAAGTCTTCCCAACTGTGAGAACCGGGCCCTAGCACTGACACCCACACACTTCCGACCTTGGGAGTTCCGTCCATTGGGTTAGCCGGGAAGATGGACTCAGTTTTCTCCCTCTTAGTATTCTTCCAAAGACTGAAGGCAGTATCACCTTCAAACCCCATTTTTGGGTCACATGAGCCTCCAGTCTGCAAAGAAACAGCTTCCCAGGGCAGCAAGAGCTTCTCAGGTTGATAAGGCAATTCTGAAGCTCATCTTTCCCTTTGGAAACTTTAAAAGGTCTGTCCTTTCTGTGTTCCACTGATCCTTAATGGCTTTCAAACTCAGGAAGCAGAGCAAAATTAACATTGTTTGTAATCCATTTTTCTTAATATATGAGCAAACATTACACTTCGCTTTGAAAGAGGGGGGGGAAAAAAAAAAGGACTATCCTGCCTCTATTCACAGCAAGTGGATTGAACAGTCTTATTGGTGAGGCTCTCATTGTAATAGTCCCTTCCTCACCTCCACCTTCCCAAGGAAATATTTTGCTTAGGACGGCCCAACAGAGCAAATGACATCAGAACTCAAGCATGGCCAAAGGGAGGGATGATCAGTGTAAACTGACATAAGATTGCTCTGCCGTTCTGCGGAGCTACCTCACATTCTTCACCAACTTTCCAACACATTCCTGAACTGGGTGAGAGAGATCAACGCCTGCTGAAGACCAACCCTACAGAAAGGGCTTGTTTTCAGCCAAGAAATTAAATAAAGGAGCAGATAGTTTGAATTGTCCATTAGAAGCATCCCGCTATTAGCTTGGCTCAGGTCTGCCACAAAAAGGGTGAGAGATGAGAGGAGGCCTCTAAAAGCAGACCAGGTGGCTAGCTGGATATGCCCATATATGGTAACAGAAAGGAAAATGTGTACCACCATTTTCTGATCTGAGATCCTTCCTGCCAAGGCAGGCTGGTAAAAGCTTGGTTCTGAACCCAAAAAGAAAGCCTATAATTTTATACAAGCACACCTCAGCCGAGAAAGGATTATTGCTGATTTGACTGGCCATGCTTTAAGTTTGTCAAGGTCATCCTCTCCTCTTTCTCCTTTCTGTCCCTGTAAAGAGTATTTGTGAAGGTGGCCCAGACAACAAGCTCATTCCTTGTCACCTTGCGCTGCCATCAACATGTCCACAGCTTGTAAGACAAGCCACAACACCCTTTAAGGGACAACTAAAGAACTCAGCCTTTCACAGCCAGCACAGGAGCAGACTACAAGAGCTGAAGAGTGTTCGGAAAAAAGCAAACCTGAAACTGACTGAACACTTAGGATTGCAAACCATCATGACCTTTACACCAAACCCCAAGGACATCAAAGGCCACAGGTACCTCTCCATGTCCTGGAGAATATTCGTAAGGAGCTCTATGTCTTTTTTATCTTGAACTTCTTCCCAAATGGAATATCCGAAATCATGGTGTCAAAGCTTTCTGAGGGAAACTGCAATTCTGTGGGATAAAGGCAGGTCTTTACATCAGACTATGTTAAAAATGAACAGAAGCTATGCCCCCATTCACATTACAAAACAGTATGCAGGCTCTGTCACAGAGTATGCACCCAGACTTATAGCTCCTTCTGTACTTATCCTCATAAATGGCACTACAAAGCCACCAACCCAATGCAGACTAGGAAGAGACAAATGCATGAGTGTGGTTTAGCTTGCAGATTACCTCTTACTGGTGATGTGTTTGTTACAGGTGGTATGAGTGTAAGACTCTCCTAACAGGACACTGCATGGTTCCAAACTAACTGCTGCTTCTCAACTCACAGTACACCTTTGCAATCAAAACGCAAAAGGAGAGCTAAGCTTGCAAGCATGTTACTTAGCACAGATGTTCAGATACACACGTATGAATGGCAAGGAACCACATGTTAAATTCCTCTCCATCCCCCTTTTCTCCCCCCAAGAATCTGATTACACCCACAATCACTTGGATTCTATCAGAGCTACTGTCTTTGAAGTATCTCCCCAGAGTTTTTGTATCCTGGGAATAGTCAGTTTTCTTGACCATGAGGCAGCACTGCACCCTTGTGGTGATGAAGGCTAGCGACACACCACGCTGTGCTGGCCAGAGCGTAGCCAGCACGTGAAAGGACAAGCCTACAGGTTCTCCATCCCCCAGGATGCTCAAAACTCGACTGGAAAAGACCCTGAGCAACCTGACCCAGCTGTGGAGTTAGCTCTGCTCCGAGCAGATCACGGGACTAAAGACATCCAGCAGTCCCTTCTCACCTAAACCCTGCTGTGATTCTATATCAGCCTTTCCAGAACTGGCTGGAGATGTTTCTTGGACCATCCTTGGATCAACACTTGCAGCACAATAATTGTATAACAATTTTATCTGCAAATTGAAGGACAAGCTACCTACAGTCCTTCTCAAGACATGCAGAAATAACAGCTTCTGACCAGTGACAAAGACATCAATTACTTGTTCAGTATTGGAAAAGCCTGACATCAAAGCATTGTCCTAGAAGCCAAGTCCAATCACAGCTTTTAAACAAGAAATAAAGCTATGTATATCCTTATAAAAAAGAAACAGTATTTCTTACCATTCTGGCAAGGTAAAAAAATATGCATACGTCATCACCCATGCACAGGGAAAAACACCCAGCTTTTGTCTGTCATGAATTTCACAAAGGACTAATTTAGACTTAGGCTTTGAGGTCCAGAATAAGGTTATAAAATTATTACCTTCTCCCCAGACTAGCTCATTAACTGAGAGCAAACAAATTCCCTCTTCCAGGAGAAAGGCATTGTCATTTAAAATACTCCTACTGCAAAATATCAACAATTCAACACTAAGGTTAAAATTTACTAAATGAGTAATAGTGGGGGCTCATTAACTTACAAGCTACATTTTATCTGGATTTCTCCTTGCTGTGTTCCCATAAGACACAAAGAACTCTCACATAGTATGTACTCTGAGGTATTCACACATTTCCCATTAAGACAGACAACTACTGCCCATGTCTGATAATTTTTATTTTCATTGTCTTTCATTTTGTCATTGTTCAAGTTTATTCTTGACAAATTTCAGGGGCGGGGAGGAGAGAACAAATAACTATCCATTCACTAGCACTACAGAGTCACTCCTTAGCCACTTATTGAGAGTTAGTTCTACTACACATCACCTCAAGAGAACCTACATTACCTGTATAATCCCAGAACCACAAAAAACTTCAAACATGTCTTCCTTGGGAAGCCTACAGACATACCTTTCACAGAAGCTTTAAGTAACTCAATCTTATCCATCAAGCCTGCAGTCCTAATATTTACATCTGCACCCTCTAACTGTGAATCGCTTATAACAGGCTTCCTGTTCAGAGAGAAAGAGAAAAGTAATTTAGTTGACAAACAGGTGTATTTATTTTATAAACCCTTCTCAGAACTGCCTTGTTGCATACCTCTTCCAAGACAACCCTCTTGCTGGGAGATCTACTATCATTACACAGAGCAATATACAGACCCAGAGGACAGAGGAATTGGGGAAGAATGTGCTATCTTCACTCATTTCATGTTTTGGTCTGCTCAAGACACCTGTAACTTATAGAAATACTGAGACTAAAAGCAAGACCACAGCTAGCTACAGACAGCCACACTGCTTCTAATACTGACTACTGACTGTACTGTCACATTGACACCTCCTTTCCCAGGATAAGTCCAGGCAGTTTTAAAAGTCCATGGTTGCCTCACACAAATCCTGCAGTGTAAATACAGAGCTGCTAGCACCTGCCTGCACAAGTATCTAGGACTTGGTTTCACATTCCTGTGGAGGAATGTTTGTACTAAAACACTTCTAACAACTGCCTACAAAGATCAGTTTGGTTTCAGTTTTCCAGTATGGTATATCAGACCTTAGTATAACTGTGGTACAGATTTTTCTTGGTGCAACTACAAGCCACTTTGCACAGGTCCTGCCTGTTGCCACTGTGATACTCATGGGCCACTCTTCGGCAGCTTCCAGCAGTATCATTCCTGGATCCAGCACAAAGGCACCTGCCTACAAAAATAAAGAGGTTACTGTATCCCAGGCAAGACAGACTCCTCTCCCCAAGACAAAGCTTACTTAGCGATGTACAGGTCACCTACATACTCCCACTGAATCCAGTGTAGCTAACAACAGTCACTGGTTTACCAGGCCAAACTTGCTTTTAAGAGAATATGGTAAAAAGCATTAATAGCTTTGCTAAAGACAATGCATCTAGCCTTGAGGCGACATTTAGGGGAAACAAATGATGACTGGACCGCAGAGGCTCTAAACTAGATTGCATAAGAGAAGACCTGTGAATGCACAACTGCAACTCACAGTTTTAATGTTTTTATGGCATCTAGAAAGCTCTGACTACCTTCAGAGAATGAGAGTTCAAATGCACAGCACAAATTTAAGCAAACATTTGTGTAGGCAGGCTCCTGTATCCCATCTTCCCAAGGTACTAGCTTTAGTAGAAACAAAAAATCTAGGTAAACTACCGTTATCTTCAAATAAGAGAAATCTACACAAACTGCAGCTACACTGGGTTTGGTGTTTTGTGGGTTTTTTGTTTTTTGTTTTAATTTTGCTCACAGCAGAAAGATATTATGCATGAGAAGAGTGCTGGATGGAAAGGGCCACTGGGAGTCTCTACACCATCGCTCTCTCCCAAGGACCAAGATCCACTTCACTCAGGACATACCCCAGGGCTGCATCACACTCCTGGTGAACAAGTTCTCCCCAGTACACAGCAGAGCTGCAAGTTCTGCCTTTTGCCCCTTCTTCTACACTGTCTGCCACAATTGAGAGGAGTCTGGCTCCATTGTCCTTGCAATGTCCCTTTAAGTAGCTGTAAACTACTATCAGATGACTCCTCAGACTCCACAAGCCCAGCTTCCTCAACCTTAGGGTTAGGTTCATTAGCATTAGGGGACATTAGGGTTAGGTTGAGGTTTTACTTATCCTCAACAAAAGGCATTGATTTGAAAAGTATTCAGGGTAACAGTGCCCCGAAATTATCAGCAGCCCTTATATTTCCACATGTTTAAGGTAAATGCAGGTTAGGGTTTTTTTTGAGAAAATACAGAAAAAGCTTACATCAGTCTGTTTCTCAAAAACACGCAACACAATTGAAATGACAAATACACTACACATCTCCCTTCACCTTTGCTAAATTCTTTTAAAACATAGATAGCATACTGGTGAAGGAAGTATTTTGGCAATCACTCCACTAACGACAAGAAACTCTGAAACTGAAGCTAAACTGCTCATTCCCAATAGTCTTCTCTACACTGCTTCTGGAAGGGTCTTCCAAGGAAGTCTTGCTTTCAGTCCAGCAGTCCCAATCACTCTTTCTCTCTGCTCCCACACACGTCTCTCCAGCTTCCACCTGACATTCCTCAGACACAGTCC